GGTAATTTTCCAAGTATAAGTTCTCTCTCCTTTTGGTTCCTTAACGTTATAATTGTATTATATTAATCCTTGATATATTTAATTTTTTTTAATTGATTTGCAGATATAACGGCGTCCATATTTTTAACGGTTTCTACTCACGTGACACCCATGAGATCTCAAATAAAGGGCATATTAGACAAATCACTATTTACAACCATCTTATACTGACATATTTCTCTTCTTGTAACTCACCATCTACAAATGACAAGAGAAAATAATATAAACCTCTAGCAATTGGCCCTTATTGAGAATGTTTGTCAGCAGGAACAACATTAGTGACTTTTCCAATGTGCTCCTCATTTGGGAGCATGTGAAGCACATGGACTGAAATTATTAAAAATTTGAACAACGTCATACGTGAGTACCATATAAAAAAAAATTGAATAAATCAATTACTATTGTAATATAATTGTAATGTTGAAGATCAAAATAAGACGGAACTCCTACTTTGGAAACCATTAAAAAATTGAACGGCATCATGTGTCGGAACATTTAAAAACATATTGAATATAGCCGAGATTGAGGAGTTTATCTTTCATGGATACTTTAATTTGGACATGAATGGTCTATTTTTGACGAGATCGAGGAGGAGATTAATTAATGTGTACGTAAATTAACCTGAATATACCTAATCATTGAACCAAAAAAAAACATAACCAAGAGTAATGTAATACAACTTTACCGTTATGGACCAAAATGAGACCAAGCGTTCCATGAGGACCACACGCTGATTATTACAAAAAATACCCTATACTCTGAGCCAATTGCAGATAAACCCCCAAAATTTAAAGTTTTGCACTAATGAACTTGAAATATTTGGTAAAAAAATTTGAAATCGAAGTACAGGTGTATAGATCGCCAATCACGATCACATTATGAAACCTAATTACTTAGCTCTTTAATGTGAACCATTAGTTTTCTTTGTTTCTTCCTCTTCTCTCAAAGGAGACGTATGTGAATTCACCACTTGGATTTTCGCGATTGAAGTGAAAGCACGGTGTTATTCTAAAGAAAAAATGATCAAACTAATTAGCAAAAGGATACTGCCATTGGTAACCTGCACGACTAACATACAACCCTCCCAACCCATAAAATTTAATTCCAACCATGACCCAATCTGGATGAAGGTAGGGATATTGATGTTTTTGAGTACTTTCTTGGGCTTTTTCACTTCACTACATACCATTTACTTCAGTACAGCGAGGGAGAACAAGAGATAAAAAAAGAAAATTGTTTAGTAACCACTCCAAACAGGCACTGAGGGAGATAATCTAGAAGGTAGGCCAAAAAGTCTATTATCTACTCTATTGGTGCTAGCTAGCATAAAAGGTGTAATCCTATTGGTTCTTCTGTAGAAGGAAGCAGAATTCTGATGAAATTAATAAGGCTGTACCACCGAGCACGTACATCATTTGGTGAAGGGCGCTTCTACCTTAACCAAGATCTACGGTTCGAGACTTGGGAATATAGTTACGTTCGATAGAGAGAGTTTTGTCGTCATTGTGGTCCTACCCGACTCAAATCTAGATTAGTCGGAGCCGATTGTGACTTTCAAATACTAGATAGTTTAACAGGAAAAAAAAAATAAGGGTGTCAATTTTTATCTAAACACCACACAAAACTAAAAATGATACGACCAACAAGAATGATAAAAGAGTGGCCGGGAGGGGGGGGTACACCAATATTTTTTTTTTTTTAAAAGAACCATTAAGTATGTATTATCATATTTATGTTAAGACAATTAAGTTCTATTTTTGATATTTATTACTAAGAAATCTTAAACTCCATCAATGGTTTGTTTTAGTCTAATTTTATCATTCTCATTAACACATAAATTATATTTATATTTTTAATTTTATATTCAAATATATTTATTGAAATATAATTTTTATCTTAAATTAAAATCTAAGTAAGTTACACTTTTAATTATCAAAGCATTCACTCTATTGATATGTAGAATTCATATGTGAGTGAATCTTATATAGTATAAAAGTCATTAGATAAATAAATATTTTTTATTTTATCTCTTAAATACAATGTTGTAGCTTTGAATGATTGAATTCTTTTTTTTTCTTCCTTAAAACAATAATTCTTTTTTAATTAATTCAAAATGTGGAAAGAGAAGTAAAAAAAAATATAATTAGATGAACTTTTGTGAATGATTGTATTCATAAATTAGTTTTTACATTGTTAATTTATGTAATTGGATGTCTTTATGGTTGAGATTTGATGGTCAAGTGACTCAAAATTTATATGGATAAAAAAGTTAAATATAAAAAAATAGAGTTGTATAATTTATAATTTCTATAAATTTTTATTGTTAATTACATTTTTTTTGGTGTTATGTACTAATTAAAAAAATAATAATTTACTTTGGGTCCTAATAACAAATATTATTGGTAAAAATGTAATTCGTATGTTGATAGGAAGGATAAAATTGAAAGAAAGTATACTATTGATGGAGTATAGAACTTCTTGAGAATAAATTATTAAAAGTAATATTTAATTGTCTTAACGAAAACATGATAGAACTTAATGGCTTTTTAGAGAAAAAAATATGGCTTATTGTTAATTTTCCCAAGGGTCAATTTAAGATTAAACTCAAATAACTTGATTAACTAGTAAAGTAAGTAAAAAATAGGTGTTTTATAATTTTTTAATTTCTTTACATGGTATTATATGAGTTATTTTAAAATTACATAATTTTTTATTAACCCAAATACTGACACAAAAACAACATGAACCGAAATGACATGGTCTAAAATTGGCATGCCCTGAAATTACACAGTAGAACATGGATTGACACCTCTTAAACTGAACCATATAAATCTTTTTATGTTCATTGATGGTGTGTTTAGCACAGGCGAGCTGTTTGGGAATCACTGGAGTGTCTAGTTAGAGCTTTTAGGCTCTTGGGGGTTAGGTTATTGATTCAATCAAACAAAGAATGAACAGATAGAGGGTTTATAGTAATTCATTAATTCAAAAGTTTGGCTAGTCCACTCTAATGGAGTCTCTTACTCTTGGGGAGTTGTCTATTAATTGAAGAAAAGAAATTGCACACAATAGATACACAAATTATTGCTTTATTACAAATGTCAGGGACTTGACCCCTATTTAGCGTAATTGTCTTGCATAATCTCTGGGATTCTTTTGTAACCGACGTCATCCTAGCGTAATCAATGTGATTTCCTTTGAGGCGGTTGCGACCCATGTGCCAGAATATTTGGTTGTTACGGGTTACATTCCTTAGGAGTGACGTGGCCTTTTGGAAGGTGTCGGGGTCTCGTTGCTAGAGAATCCCGACCTACGCACTCTAAACTTGTGATCACAAGCTGCAAGGTCCAAATCAGGGGCCCGACCTTAATCTTAGCTAATTTTTGGTATCATCATTCATTCTTCTTAATTGCTTTTTTCTTTTTTTGATTGTTTAACACCACATCACCTACTAAAATGTACACAACCATGGCATGTTTACTTCGAGAAAGATCAAAAAAACAAACGCCAATTGCATAGATGGTTTTGAATGCTTGGATTGAACAGAACCAACATACTCTGTCTTCCCCCCATATGCAATAAATGCAAGCATTAAAAGCAACGGATTAGTCCCCGTGAGCATTTTTCACCATTCTTGTACCTTCTTAAATTAATACTCCAACTTCCTTCTTGTTGGGTTGTTGAAGAATTTAATGCAACCTCTTCAATGCCTCCCTTTGCCTCTCTCTCTCTCTCTCATAGTAGAAGGCATATATGTAAGCTTCTCTTTATTCATCCCCACCTGGTCACCCCTTTCTCTCTCCCCTTATTCTCACATTTTCCTCAGACTGAAGACATAGCCTTAGTTGCTTCTTCATCAGGTAACCCCTGGCCATTAATGATATTTTCTCTTTCCTTTTGTCATGTGATGCTTGTTTTTCAATGTTGTAGCATTGTAAACTTCATCTGATTCTCCTGAGAAAAATGCCTCAACAGATGTGTTTTTGTTTGTGGCAAATGAGCAGCACAAGAATGAAAGCAAATATGGTGGTGGTGGTGGTGGGAGTTGTGGATCAGTTTAATACGGGATGTTGGTGCGGTTCAATGAGAAAGCAGTTCTCGGAATGCTTTGGGCCCTACTTTTTGATTGAGCCGTGCCAATATCACGTGCTGTTTACTCTCAAACCTTGTACCTTTCGAATCAACCAAAGATTTGAAGGTAACTGATATTTATTATTTTTTGTTTTTTCTTATGAGGTAAAATTGCAAAATAAGAGTAAAATTACAACTCAATCATGTGAGAGTATAACAAAATAGAGTTGTTTCGGATCGATCCTAACTTCCTTTGGTCATAACTTGACCCCATTTAGTTTAACATGACCCAAAAAATTATAACTTTTAGTACAATATTTCCGACGATTCTATAGTCTTATTCTTAGAAGATAACTGGAAAGACTGTTTTTTTTATCGATGAAAAATCCTCTAAGTCTTTTGGTTTTTTTCCTTCTTTTACGGAACAACTCCAGACCCATTAAGCTTTTGTGTATGATGGGTTCACATAGCAGTTTTGTTTGACGAAGCTTGTTGGCAAATCATCCATTTTTGCTAAAACCAAGCAGTTTTGTTTGATGAAGCTTGTTGGCAAATCATCCATTTTTGCTAAAGTTTCTCAGCTTAGGGGCAGACAGATGCTGAAGATGGAAGCAACAAGTGAGAACAGAAGTAAGAATAATGTCTAAAGTCCAAATCCCACAAAGACATATCTGGAATAGTAGTCATTAGTGAAACAAAAAGACTTGTACAAATTGAAAGGAAGACTGGGGATCTGACAGAGTAGTATTATAACAGAACGAATATGATCAACAGGTATTCTTTTGCCTCAACCGATGCACGAGCTAGATTTTCGATCATTGCAATGCCATTAAAGTTGGTTATGGAACCTCCAATTTATAGAAGAGAGAGAATAAAACAAAGCACATCATCAAATAATTTGTGAAACAACTCATTGATAAAATTGGAAGAGGACAGAAAAAGCCAACACAGACTGTTCTTTCTATTATGAGCTTAATATCTATGATTTGTGACTTACAATTTGGCCCTCCAGGCAGTAACAATTGGGTAATGATGCCACTGTGCTCGACTGCTTGGGCAGTCAAGACTTCTATACTGAAATGGAGAAGGTTTGCACAGCAGGGCCTCTCTCTCTATCTTGTATATAGTATGTATAATTTATATTTTCCCTATACTAAGATGAATGAAAAAGATAATAATCAGTACAACTGCTGATCTTTATTACCTTCCTGAGTTTGGAAGAATTGCCAGCTGATTTTCAAAAGGCAGCAGTCCACACAGCATTCTCTCCTTCACCGCACCGTCGATGGACCTCCTTAATCCTATCAACCGACCTGCAAATTCCACTGCAGCTCCAGTCAAACGAAGCAACACAAATGTTGCCCGCCTGTGCCCTCCACTCGCAATCTGCAGTTATAAGTTGTATCAAAATCACAAATTTGTCTTCCAAATTCCCAGTTTAGTTTGGTCATTTGTCACTAAAGCTTTTTTATTCTCTCAATGACCAATCAAACCACTAGCCTGTAAGTAGATAGCGAGTGAGTCTATTGTCCTCCTACAATCAATAGCATTTCATCGGAAGACACTTCACCTTGTAGCCCTATGCATTGTCATTTCCAATGTAATAAACAGGAATGTGTACCTCAAGAGATTGAGTGATCCTTCTTCCAAGAGGCTCCAAGTATACTATCCACCAACAGTTTGATTATTATACCTTTATTCCAAAGAAGAACAAGTTCTATGCTATGTTCAATTGTTCATTCCAAACACCAGTGTGATTATCATATCAGAGGGCAGACTTCATATGACTGATGCTCTATAGTTTTTGAGTACAGTATTCACGTCAACAGATCACAAAACACTCTAGGGTAAGAAAAGTTCAGGTACTAGACTAATATTGGTTTTAGTGCTTTCTCAGAGTTCTGATGTTTTCCCATTTTCGTAGACAACAGAGCAAAAAAGATGATTATAAGCTTAAACTTCAATGAATTTCAAACTTTTACCTGGTGGGGTTCCACAACATAATCTCCTATCGTCAATATGCTGCACATCGAGTCCAATAAACCAAGATCCCAGAGATACATCTTCGTTAGCATACTTGTGCAGTACATGCCTGAAAATATTTCAAAGACAAATTATCACAGAAGCAACGAGACAATGTAAAAACAATCATTTCCTGATAATAGCTTATCCTCTTATTTACCCTCAAATAATGTGAAACTTAACTGGTTTACTGAAATATATGTAGCCAAATCTCTTGAAACAGCATATAACTGTCCTGTAGCATGACGGAAATACTTGTTTCCTGCCTCCCCAAACTTCCAATACTCTGGTTCATGGTATCTCACTCCTCTGTTCCATGGAATACAAAGTAAGAAATTATATATAAGCCAAAGCAGGTTTTCAACCTTTAGTTTTAGAGCACCAATTTAAGAACAAAATGGCTTACTTTTGAGCAAGGACGGGACCAGATTTCATGCATCCGATATATACCAGTGGTTTTCTTCGGTGTCTTGCCAAAGTTTCTCCTAGTGTGGCTGCATCAGGAATTCAAAAGCATTTCAGAATTTGAATTCTGGCAAATGGACCATAATTTCCAAAGAACCAACCCGATGATATATATGACTACTATGTGGAAAACCAGAGATGTTATATATATATATCTCATTCTCAATCTCATGAGAAACAACCATAGTCATTCTATCAGTTATAAAATAAGGATAAGGCCCCAGATAAACAAAGACAGTGACATTTCCTGATGGGGTCAAAATTTGAAAGGTATAACAAATAGGGTGTGTTGGTATCGAAGTCTTGGAACTTCAGCCTTCTCACATTCAGATTATGCCTATTCTCAAATATGCAGAAAAACCAAGTAGAAAGATACTAATTTACCTATATTCACATGAACATCATCATCAACCTTGACATAGAACTCTGCATCCCATAAAGCAACAGCAGTGGCAAAATATGTCTTTGTCTTCGCTGACAATTCAAGGTATCCCTCGACATGATCCTGCTCATATAGCATAAACACTAATTTGTTATTTTTTTCTTAACTCAAGCAATATTTGTAGCAGTGTCCATTGGTCATAGGAAAAGAACAGTACAAGAACAAGGTTCAAAGTATCACCAGCCTCAAAATATCTCCATGCTTTTTGTCCTCCGCTTCAATAGCTCTGTCCAGTATACCCCCTACCGTGGCACTGGTGATAAAAGAACCAATTCACCATAATAATCAGCATGTGCAAAGTATATACACTCCATGAATCACATAATTTACTAAAAATGAGGATAAGATCAAGGAATTTGAAATGAACTCCGAAAAAAGATTAAACAACTTTGGTGCACAAAATATTATAGAAAGGCAGATGGAGAATTTTTTTTATACAAACTGCTCAAGAAATTAGGCATTGAAAGAAAACATGCCCCCACCTATGACCAATGACAAAGCGAACAATAATGCCCTTCTCTTCCTCCAACTTTCTTCTTTTTTCACCTATTTTCATGTTTCCACGTGATTAATAATCAGACATCAGTTTCAAACAAGATACTAAAAATGATGGGAGAATAAGTCATAGGATAGAAGAAAAGGAAAGCAGGTGATCAAATTATGAACCTTGTGGCATCCACGTAGCACGAACAGAATCTCTTCTTTTTCGGCTGCTAAAAGCAGTGTTAATTCCTATAACCATAAGGTATTTTCTTTTCCCAGGTGAGTCGGTCTTCTTTATGTCTTCTGAAGTAGGAGAGCCACTGAGAATAGACTCTTGTGCTGCTCGTGCAGCCTCTAGTTTCAACTTTATGTTTGAAATAGTTTTATCCAATGTCCTACATCCAATGTACAGTAATATCATGCATTCAGGGTAATTAAAGATCAAATGAAGTAGGCTAGACGTGCGTAATATAAAACAAAGAAAGAACAAGCAAACTTACTGTACAGCATGATGAGCACTAGACCCTTCCCCAAAAACCTCCTTAGCTTCGTGCTTAACATCCTCTCTACGCAACTATAGCGAACCATTCAATCAAATCAAAACGTATGATCATTGATGATGAATAGAAAAGAACAAATTTCAAAATAAGCCCAAAAAACGTGCTTGTAGCACTGTATCATGAGAACATTTAGTGACCTAATTAGTAATTACCCAATATTAAGAGGATGGAAATACTCACAATTATGGAATCACAACCTTCTGAAACTAACTTTAACATTTCAGCTTCCCCTGCAGTTGTTCTTGTTATTCCTTTAGAGTCAGGCACCATCCACATCCTATTTACAATTTTATATAACGCCATAATATTCCAAAAATTTGCAGCCCCCCGCCACCCCCCCAAAAAAAAAAAAACCAATCATTTTAAGAATGCAATATCCTAATATATTTCAAATGAGAAAAATTGTCATGCTTAAACTGAGAATGCAACCAAAACTTTTGAATTCTAGGACTTTTAAGCAAACATCAAAGACTGCAGTCAAGAGAATTTCACAATCCAGTGTCTTATACAAAAATCTAAAGCAAATATATATAGATATGAAAAGGGGTGTCTTTCAAGTTCTTTGGGTGGCCATTAAACACGAAAGAAGTGATTAAACATTAAAAATTAAACGTACATTATCTATGTGGACCTAAAAATAAGATCTAGACGTATTAATGATGGGACTTTAATGAAACCATTGAATCAATATGAAACTGTCTATAATAAATACGAGATAGTCAGTCATATATATATATATATATACACGAGATATCATCAGAAAACGTAATAAACTGGAAAAACATACCAGCAAACAAAAAAAAAACACTTCCTTAAAAAATTCAAACATGAAAATTCTTAAAAACTATTCAAAACAAATTTCCAAATTCAACATCTCTACCCAATTCGCCAAAAAAATTTTTTGATGAATTAACGGCTCATCATAAAATTACTTACGTAATTGCAGATAGTTTAGGGAAAGATATGAAATTTTGAAGAGATATACCTACTGGTGAAGAGCATTCCAGCACAAAAGCTTCCAAGACAAAGCAAAAGAGTCCATCTTTGAGATATAACACTTATTGCATTTGGCTCTCCCCGGCTCTTCACAGACATTTTCTATAACAGTTCTCTTGCTCTCTATCCTAACTAGTGTCTTTGTTAATTGTTAACAATAACCCATTTGCACAACAGAGATAACAAACCAATCAAGGACAACTAGAAGCAAACAAAGCACAAAGCAAAGCATAGAATAAAGGAACAACTTAAGAGACAATGGATCCTCTCCTCTTTATCTGTTTCTCCCAGCAGGTATTTCTCTCTCTGTCTCTCTCTCCGATTACACTTTGCAGGCAAGGGACGTGGAACAGAAGTGAGAAGACCCACTAACTGCGCTGTTCTGAAGTCTGATACCAAAGCTGCCAAACAGTCCTTATCAGACCGACCTTATTAAAATGGCCTAACTGCAACAGTTTTTGCCAGAGTGACATAAATACCCCTAATACATACTCTTCTTGACATAAACACCCCCTTAAATTAAAATCTATTAAATGTCGCGCTTAAACGAAAGAAAATATAAATTATTAATAATAAAATTGTAATTAATTATTAGTAAATAGTACCAATAAAGGGAGATGATATTAAACTCATTTTCATTTTTAATTAATAGTAGAAATTAATAAGGGTCAAATATAAATTTTTTTTTTGTACAGAGAGATTGTTTCAATAGTTTAGAACAATGGTTTCTAAATATAACAAAATAATCTCAACGGTGTGTATTAATTCGCAATCGAATGCTTGAGAATTATAATACCAATTTGTTAGTCAGTCAACTCTAAATTGTTATACAAACAAAGGAATGTATTGTGGAATAATTGACTTGCATGATATTATTCTTGTACGTAGTAAAACAGTACAAGCATTGAATATTGTTTTATTTTTAAAACTCTGGTGTCTATTTATAGAATTTTCTAATAGGCCAAATTAAGATTGGCTTTTTTTTTTTTTTTGAGAAATAACGCGATACTGATAATTCAATTACATAGGAAAAATTTGATTACAATCAGAACATAATAAAATCTTAAGCTCAGGTGGGCAGCAGCGCACCCAACTCAAAGAAATTGAGCTTGAAGAAGCCTAAATTGCAACCCAAACTGTTCGGTTAAGAGCTCTTGGCTTGTGTAAGAAACGTAACTTGAAAACATTAGAAAAGTGCCGAATGTCACTAACAAAACATTAGATTGGCTTGTTTGTTAGGCCACAAACATGAAAAGAAGGAAGAAGGGTTCCTCCTTTATTGAACAGAAAATACATTACTTCTATTTTTCATTGTATCATCTTTATTAGACTATTTTCAATGAAAATTTAAATTCTTATTCAAATTTGATTTAAAAAAAAAAAAGGTAAAAAGCATGATTTTGTATAGACCTTTCTAATGACTATCCAAATTTAAAAGGAGAGAAATTTAAATTTAAATGAGGACAAATTCAAATTTAAAAAATGGTAAAATATGACAATTAGACCTTTAAAGGAGGGTATAACCTCACCATTAAAGATTTGAGTTTAAAAAATGAGTTTTTCTTAATTAGATATGGGTATGGGTATGGGTCTAGAATTGGAGAAACATTTTAGATCATTTTCATTCAAATATAAATTTAAATACAAAAAAAAAAAGGAAGGAAGGGAGATGCTTTTAGGGTGTCGATTGGTTAAAATGGAGATCCAATTAAAATTAAAAAAAAAATTGAATGGAGATTGGAGGTTCCATACCTTTCCCCGGAGATCCAATTAAAATTTAAAAAAAATTGAATGGAGATTGCAGGTTCCATACCTTTCCCCGTTGAGGTAAATGATTGGCTTAATGATCCCTATCTCGCTCAATTATACTTTAAAATCACGGGTTCAAATTTTATCGTCCCTCTTTTATATGAATTCGGATCTTCTCTATTACATTTTCCCTTCAATTCCTTTCAATACACTGTTAGATAAATAACATGTGTAAAAATTTAAATTTCAATAGACAAAATTTTCTTCTTATGAGAAAATTTCTTAATAATAGTTAACACACCAATAATAAAATGAAATGAGAAAATATCTTATTCATTGAAATTTAAAATTTTACACGTGTCACTTGTCTAGCACGGTATTAAAAAAAATTAAAGGGAAGAAACAATTGAGAAGATCTAAATCCTTTTTGTATAATAGGATCTGACCAAAAAAATATACCTCTCCCCTTATTTGGATACATCCTTGTAATTTAAAAAACTAAAAATAAAAGTGGTAATTGTTATTTATAATATTTATAGAAAAATCAGTCAAAAAGCAAGCAATTAGAACCTTGTAATGGAAAAAAGAAAGTGTGACCCCACTACATGATTGATCAACGGCAAGTGACGATCCAGCGAGGCAGCAATGATGGGAATATAAACGCACGTGATCATATCTGGCAAGTCAGCACGTGGAAGCTTCCGATTGGACATTTCACTCAGAGCACCTGACCAATGTTCATTAACCAAGTAACAGCCTTCATTCTGTCCCACGTGGATACTGGAAAAGTCTGGCACAACCTAAGGGCCCCACCTCACAAGCCAGCCTGACACGTGTCACATTTTAATGATCTTAACAATTGAGAGAAACGGACGTCCCGCTCTGCTCTTACGTGGGTAGTTTGGTCCTTTTGACTTTCTTATTGAGTCTTTCTTTTCGCTTATTTTCGTTTTGCTTGTAAGGACGATTAAGCCCATACAAATAAAGAGATACTTTGAGTTATGTATCAATACATTCCTAAATGTCAAACAATCTCACTAATTCTCGCTATGTCTTTCTCTCTCTCTCCTCCCCCCTCTTTCCCTTACCTTTCTATTATCTTATCTTCTTTTATTTTAATTTTTAATAAAAAACTAGAAGAAAAATATGATTATTTAAAATATAAAAATTGCATAATTAATTCTCAATTTTTAATATTGTAGAGTGTCTTTAAATACAAGACTATACTAGTTAGGTAGAGAGTTGAATGCTCAACTTATAAAACTACATCACTAATCAGGATTGATTCCATTTTTATTTAATCATTATTTTTTTCATACAGTCTCCAATATCAAATAACTCAACCAAACATACTCTCTAATGCAAGAACTTTACTAATGTACATTTATATCTTATTTCTCTCTCTCATATATCTCTTACTTATCACGACTCACTATCATTAAATAATTAAATAAAAAAATTATTTAAAATATAAATATTTCATGAATAATGATCGATTTTTTGTATTGTATAGCATTTTTAAAATTAGCTTTCTTCTCCTTTACTCTATTTTTTTTTGCAAAAAATTATTCAAATAAAGGACGACATGTTTTCTAAGCACCTTTCAAGCAGGAGTGTTAATCGAGACGAGCTATTTGAGCTCAGCTTGAATAGGACTTGGTTAGAGCTCAATTCGTGTTCTAAACGAGTTGAGTTTGTACAATTTTTTAGGTTTGTTTAAAAAAATGAGCTTAAAATGTTCGCTCAATTATATGTAAAATAGTCGAACTATTCGGGTTCGGTCTGAGCTCAAGTTCTAAACAAGTCGAGCTTGAATAAATTTTTAGGTTCATTTAAAAAAATGAATTCGACAAACTTGGACTCAAGCTCGCAAAAACTCGACTCAATTAACACCCTTACTTTTAAGTCACAAAAGTATTTTCGATTTCCATATTTCTTATATTGCGAGTTGATTTAAACTTTCATCCCCAAGCATCATTCTACCACTGCAATTGACACTATAAGAACAATGTTATTGGACCTAATTTCGAAAATCAATTTGAGAAACTAATGTATTGTAATTATTAGATTAGTAATAAATCTCACCACTAAATACTTTCTATTTCATGAGTAATATAAAATGTGCATCTACTCTCTAAATTAAGTACAAGTAATATAAAATGTGCTTTTAAAATCTTATTTTAAGAAAAAAAAAAAAGAAAGAAATCAAAATAACTGAATAGTAGGGGTGTTAATTGTTTTATGTTGTGTTATTTTTAAATTTGTGTCAAAAATAACTCATGATACTATGAACTGTGTTATTCCTGTCCAACTTTATTTTGACTCATTTATTAATTATGTTAATTGATTGTATCATTTTTAAGTTTCGTATCGTGTCGGGTTTATGTTAATGACACCAGTACTAAATGGATAACATTTATATCATCAGGTTCTTGGATAGAGGCCCATGGGAGCACATGTATTGGAGATTCCTCCTGCATGTTATTAACATGGAGGTTAATAATAGAATAAAGAATATATTTCAATCTTAAAGTCCGTCTTATTTTATATTATAAATTTTTCATTTTAATCAGTTTTGAATCTATTGCTTAAATTTTGGTGCTTAATTTTAATTTTATTTAATACCACCTGCGTCTTAGGACAATTGATTTCCAGCCTTCGGCTTATGAGGGAAATTGGGTACCCGGCCATCTTTGGACCATTGGTTCCGACCCAAGGCTCAACAGGGATTTTGGGTACCCAATATATTTTAGTGGGTTCTAGCCCACCAATCTAGTTTTCATTTTCACTTCTAACAATAACCTCGTGATTAAAAACATTCTTTAATATTAAAAATTAATTGTTGATCGTACAATATTTATCTTATTAATAGTAGTGTATTTATTTTTTTTAATTAGGTAATTTAAAATTAAAGTAAACAGAAAAAAAAAAAAAAGAGGTAAGGGAGAGAGATGAGAGATGATAGATTAGTAGAGTTGTATAGCATTGAAAAGTGTATTGGTTGAGTTAATGTTTTGTGTGAAATAATTTTCTTTAGAATAAATTTTGTACTATTAAATTAAAATAAATAAAAATTAATTAATTTAAACTTCTATTGTGTCTTATAAATTTAGAATCTTTTTAACTGTATTATTAGGTTGACGGGCTTCAAACCCTTGGGGCCGCGTATGCCCAACAGATGCTCAATTATAGTTGAACAAATCGCCGCTTAGACCACAAAAAGCGTAAACGGGTGCGGGAGCAGGAACTAGAGTGAGAGCGCAAGAGTGTAAATTTTCTAAAAAAGTTGAGAGCGAGAGCATTATTAAGAACGTCAAATTTATATATATGACATATTTATATGCAAGGTCAAAATATCAAAAATAAAAAATAAGATTATGGTAAAAAAAAATTAAGGAAAGGAAACATAGTCAGTAGCAACAACCTAACTTACAAACTATTGTTTTCACATGGGCTGCCTAATAGCAAGTGGAATGAAAAAAAAATTGAGGGTGAATCCCGTAGATAAACTTATAATGACTTGAATTTTGGAAGGAAATTTATTTGGAAATAAACTCATATTTAAATTTATATATAGGTACTTAAGTTCACTTATTTTTTAAATCTCAAAATTATCCCTAATAGTGTTAATTTTATCCAATTATGGAAAGTCACATAAGTTAGATCATTGAAATATATATGGAAACTCTTGATTGAGTTATAAATAGAAATCGTTTATTAAATATTATGATAATTAACCAAAATTTTATATGAAAGTTATATATATTCTGATAGTTATATATGGGAAGCTTAATGTACGAATAAATTTTTGGTCCATTAAGTCAAAATTAAATTACAAATTTTTTTTAACAATAGTAATATAAAATATAGGGAGGTTGAACAATATCAACAGAGTTCAGTAACACGAATGTTAATATATAGTAACATTAATGTTACTATATAATTGAAATTACAATTAGGGTCATGTTACCAGCACAGTCGTGTTATTATACTGATACTAATATTACTATAGTGAATTTTAACAAATAATTGTAAACCTTGAAACGTATATCATGTAATATACACTTTAATATTCACAGAAGCATCAAAGTTTTGTGCTCAATAACACATATAATTTTACAAAATACAAGACAATAATTTTTTTATAGTAACATTAACTATCGAATGATTTTATTAAAAATACAATCCACAGATTAAAAATTAATAAAATAACGAGTAGTAACACACAATCGACAGTTGAATTACGATATTCAACACCAATTGTGAACATCAAGATATCAAAAATTTGAACTCTATTTTTCGATTCACGTACAGTAACATAAACTTTTTTCATAGTAATACAACCAACAAATACTCGATTGTCTTGCGCAACAAAAAAATCAACAAATCGAAATTTATAACACTTTAATTAATGTATGAGTTCTCTTAAATCTTGGTTACAAGGTTAATGTCCACTTTGACAAAATTAAATTCTTAATTGTTATTATTTTTTACTTTTTTTTTACCATGTTACAATTTTTTTGTAAGTATGTTACTATCTTTATTGAGTATGTTACTATTGTTATTTTTTAAATATTAATATTAAATATTAATATTTTGTCAATGAAGTCCAAAGTAAACTAGAATAGTAAATTGAAATTGTATTTTATAAAATGTAATGAGTTTGAGATTTAAATATAAACGATTTTTAATAAATATTGATTTCTTATTTTTCGAATAAAAAAACATCGAAAACGGCTCCTTTGTAGTAACCCACTTATCGCATGATATGCGGTTAAGTGGAACGGTGCAGTTTGGAGCATTTTTTACAATTTTTTTTTTTAATACTCCTTACCAAAAACAATGGCGTTTTTAGTCCTTGAAATCCGTTTCAGCAATCTCCCCCTCGTTTCAGTATCTACGAAAAGAGCAATGCTACGTGGCTCTTGTCAATGCTTTTTATGATGCTTTTCGTCCACAACCAATGTCCTTCTCTTCTACTCCCTTCCTCTTCATTTCCCACATACCCAGTAATTTTCTCCAGAAATCCTCATGAGTCATTGCCCTTTGCGCCTGCTCAAAAAACCAACACAAGAGCTGTCATTAGACCGTGTTTTGCGCCCAAGAACGAGACTTGTGGAGGTTTTGATACAGCTGAAGAAAAAGAAAATGAAATGGAGGATTCCACTGAGACCCTCTTGTACTCCTTCACTCCTTTGCCTGTGCTCTTTTTGGCTGCCCTTCCCGGAGGTAATGCTTAATAAATAAACTCAAAAAAAAAAAACACAACATATTTACATTCTGGTATTTCTGGGTCTTTTTTTTTTTTTTCTTGCGCTCTTTTGCTCAATTAAAGGTTAGAAAATTTGAACCTATTAAAGCTGAAGGTGGTAGCTTCATTTAATCTTTATTTTCTTCCACTTAGTCAGAACATTGTCACGGACTCGAAAGTGAACTTGCTCGAGGAATTCCTTCAATTACTTTTATTGCCAGAGCCACTAGTTTTGCCCTCTGGAACCTTGTTTTGAAGCTTTAATGCTCCGTTTAGTATGAGTGATGAGAAATAGGAAAGATGAAAAGTAGGAATGATACATTTTTTATTCTTTAAGGATGAAAAATAGGAAGGATACGCTTTCCTTCTTTTGTGTTTAGTTGGATAGATGAAAAATAAAAATAACTATTTTTTTTTAATTTTTTTTTGTACTAGCTAAAATTAGGGGTGACAATCGAGTCGAGTCGTGTCGTGTTAAGTCATTACGAGTTTGTGTCGAATATTAGTCAAATCTAACTTAATTTATTTAACTAATTGTGTCGTGTCGAGTTACAAGTTAACCTGTTTATTTTTGTATCGAGTTCGAGTCGTATCATTGTGTTGAGTTCAAAATTTTCATCCTTAGTTAAGATGAAAAAAATATAAATTTTTTTAATTTAAATTTTTTTTTATTTTTTATTTTTTTATTTTTTTATAAATTTATTTTTAAATTTTTTTAAAATATATGTGCATATTTTATCATTGTATTTTTATATGAAATTAATGTACACATAAGATATATTGACAAATAAAATACATCTCAATATAAATAATTAACTTTCCATCCACTTTCCTTCCGATTTTGAAGGGATTGATTTTAGTGAACTGAAAGGAAAGTTAATTCATTCACTTTTCCATCCTACCTACTTTCCTTCCTTATCAAACATAATATTTTTTTTCTCTCAAACTTTTCATCTTTTTACTTTTCTATCGTACCAAACGGAACATTAGAGCCCTCGGTGTTTGTTCTATTTGCCCAATTTTACTCAGCTTTTTTCCCTAGTTTTTTTTTTTTTTTGTTGCACGTAATTGTTTGAGCAACTAACTCGTCTGGTCGCGGTGTAGTTCAGAAGTTCTTATGCATCTCACATGATGAGCAATTCAATTAATGGAATTGATTTGGTCAGCCATTCATACATGCAAATGTATAGCTCTTTTATGAAGTAGACACATCTCAAGTAAGGCAACAAATGAAACTGTGCAACTCTTAATGAACGAACAATATCTATATCAACCCCAGCAAGATGGATGATCGGAAAAGCAGGTAATTAAACAAGGAACAATTCACATATAATGCTAATATAGGATACACTCAAATTAAAATACAACAAAATCTCAGTATGATTTAGCAGACTTGACAGTTTACAGGATGTAGATTTTAGAGCTGGTAAAGCATGAACCTGTCTTCAGGAATGCAACCACAAACGATCTCACAGCCTCTCCTCTCCAACACCAAACATCTCATCAACCCTTTCACCATCTCGGTAGAAATGAAAAGTTGGTGTGTACAGAATATGCTGAGTGCTTTCTGGGCATCGTCGATATCTGTATATAAGAAAGACAATTGTGGAAACTTGTAGCTAAATTGGCGTAGGCAGGATCTGGCTGCAAACGTGACACCTGAAAAATGATTGATGAATCAGCTTGAACATAAATGCTTTCTACAATTTGAAATATTGAAGTACAATTGATGTATTATGTCCGCCACTTTTCTGGTGCATCTTATGCTGCTATCAAGGCTTTGTGATTAGACTTTAATGCATTTCATAGTGTGCAAGAAATCAATTCACAGTAAGAAGTCGATCTCCGAAGTAAACACAACAAAGCCAAATTTCACTGGAGTCAAACATCGAACACCTTGTGTTCACAAATTTTGCACCCCTCTCCCCAACACACACACACACACACACATTTCTTGTCCCCCCTTTTAATTCCTAAAATAAATTTGTTTGCTTAACTAAAAGATAATAATTGATAACAAATATATGATATTTGGATCACTCAACAAGAAACCCAATTTACCAAAAAAGGGAAACGGGCATCAGCAGTGTAAGCTTGTCAACAAAGAACTTACCTGAAGTTCAGAGATCAAGTGTAAGACATCATATGCCCAAACTTTGCACCAAATATACGAGCATTGTCAAGCAAATAAATTTCAAAAAAAGAACAAAATTTTCAAAACGAAGAGTTCAAATTAACCCATAAACATACCAAGACGCGCCATAATTAATTATAGCCTGCAAAACAGAAAATGTTTTCAAAAACAAAACTTAGCTCTCCAGCCATGAACAAAGATGGGCAAAGCCATTCACAAATTCCATATCTAATTATGGTACCGCCATAATTAACCTCTCTCCATCCAAAACAGGATACAAGAATTGTTGTACTGTGCTTAAGGAAACCCCTAATCACCAACTTTAATATCAGCCCTAGAGTTCTTGAACATCATACATGTCTAAACCGTAGCAGCAATATCTACCCAGAGAAACAAAGGCAACCCTAACAAATGAATTTATAGCTCAAAATCACATCTTTATATCTAATAATGTTACTAACTAAGTCTTTCGGAATTCCACAATGTAATTTGGAGTACAACAACAACAAGCCGTAAAATAAACCATAGTTTTTTACCAAGAAGCACCCATAAATTTATACTTCTTACAGCTGCTATTTCATTACCAGACAACATTCACAACTATTTGAAACAACCAAAGAAAAATAAAATATATGGGTTTTTGTGTGAATAAGAATCTAAGGTTAAGCTTGTGAAAAGTTTTTACTTTCGTATAAAGAGAGGGTCTACCCAGAGAGAGAGGAGGTGCTTGAGTCTGAATATGGGAGCAGCGATCGTTTGGCGAAGTCGAAGGTTGGAAGCGGAAGGAAAGAGAAGGGATTTCACAGGTTGATTCGAAGGACCAAAAACGACGTCGTTTTTGACAAGGACTATTAAAAAAAATTACAAAAAATACCCAAAACGGTACCGTTCGACTTAACTGCATATCATGCGGTTTCCTGTCTACCATAGAAGAGCCGAACCCAAAACATTGTAGCTTAGAAGATTGTAGCCAGATTTAAAGACAATTATTAAAAGAAATATGTATGGCTAACTATTGTGTCCATAAACGTCATTTATAACATTTTTACAAAAAATAGTTATAATCGTAAAACTAACAAAACATAGACTTAAAATTAAATAAATTTAATTAACAGACTGATCTCTAAATAAATTCATATAGCGGAATCAACCTCCAAATTTTCCTATATATATAGATCGCACATCGGTTGCATATGGAAAGTGGGAATGGAAAGCAAGTAACAAATAGTCATGCTTTCTATCCTTTTTGTTAAGAAATTGGGCTTACTTTTGGGGCCCAATACGTTGAACTGTAGCCCAATTTTTTACTTGGGCTGTGGTCTACATTGATAATTAGTTCAAGTTTTTGAGAAATTATGGAGTAAATCTTGAAAATGCTTGATTAGTAAATTATGATAATTGAATTAGCGGATTTAATTTTTTGAATCTACGAATTGGTGGTGAATTCGCTACCGATTCACAAATTTGCAATTTATGCCCAAATTTGTAGCCTTGAAGGGACGAATCGTGTGATTTAGGTCGTCACCCATTCTTCAACACATATTAGAATTTTGTTTGAAAACATCATGAGATATTTTTGTTGTTATGTAGATCGAATTGAATCATTTATAGAATTAAAATTTTAATATTTTGAGATAATATTTTAATATATTTTTGCATGTATTCATCATTGTTTTGTTTTCATAATGTTTTGAGATGTTTTGAGAAATTTACAAAACCAATTCTCAAATTTGTATTCTTTTTTTATTTGTTTTATTAGTTGTCCCATTAGCTCACACAGTAGTTCCCCCTCACTTACTCTTTACACAAGGGATAAATTTATGGGTGACCACCTCAAAAGNCTCATCATTGTTTTGTTTTCATAATGTTTTGAGAAATTTACAAAACCAATTCTCAAATTTGTATTCTTTTTTTATTTGTTTTATTAGTTGTCCCATTAGCTCACACAGTAGTTCCCCCTCACTTACTCTTTACACAAGGGATAAATTTATGGGTGACCACCTCAAAAGACTACGTTCCGTGAGATATTCAAACGTTGACCTACCTTTTATGAGAGATTAATTAGGTAACTCAACTACCACTAGACTAACCGCTCAGGGCATGTTTGTTTGGGGAATTGATTATGGGTGGTATTGGAAATGTATTACTTACATTTCCAATACCAATGATTATTAGTATNTTGGGTGACCACCCCAAAAGACTACGTTCCGTGAGATATTCGAACGTTGACCTACCTTTTATGAGAGATTAATTAGGTGACTCAACTACCACTAGACTAACCGCTCAGGGCATGTTTGTTTGGAGAATTGACTATGGGTGGTATTGGAAATGTATTACTTACATTTCCAATACCAATGATTATTAGTATAGATAATAAAAAGTATTTCAATTCCCCTCCCTTATTTATTTGTTCAATAAGTATTATAATGGGTCCCACAAATAACCATATACTCTATCACATTTTATATAACAAATATATCATTTTACCCATAACATCATTCATTTTATTACTCCGTTTGTGTAAAGCTTTTGCACTATATTTGGTTTAATACTTGGTACGACAATTCATACCCAAAAATAGCCNCTCCCTTATTTATTTGTTCAATAAGTATTATAATGGGTCCCACAAATAACCATATATTCTATCACATTTTATATAACAAATATATCATTTTACCCATAACATCATTCATTTCATTACTCCGTTTGTGTAAAACTTTTGCACTATATTTGGTTTAATACTTGGTACGACAATTCATACCCAAAAATAGCCAGATCATGTAAAAAATCCACATGAAAATTCAAGAACCATTTACACACATTATACCAATGAGGAANCCAGATCATGTAAAAAATCCACATGAAAATTCAAGAACCATTTACACACATTATACCAATGAGGAAAAAAAAGAAATTAAAAAGTTCATAAAATAAAATTACAAGAAATGACTTTAATCCTTCAAAAAGGACTTAAACCATTTTAATCTTCTATCTGCAGCTCTTTCCGTGTACAACTGCTAACTTTGCAATATTCCAGTCTACTGACCACTAAACACCTCTTTTCTCATCCTTCCAGTAGATATACTGGACTAATCCTATTGCAAGAGTAATCTCCCCTCGAATGGCAGAA